AGGCAAGGGTGGAAGGAGGGGCGACGAGGAGAAGGAAGAACGCGGGGCGTTGTCGCGCCGAAGCGGGGACCTATCACCACAAGATGGTTGGGAATAGCTGTGCGCTGGGAATGCATTGGTGTCGGATATGTCGTTAACAAATCCAGCTTGTCCTCCTCCCTCTATCCGCTCTCCCACCTCCTCCTTTCCCCTTGTCCACTCCCCCTTTTCATTCTTATTCATCCTCTTCCGCATCAACTTTCCTGATTCCTTCCATCTTCTGTTCGTATCTCTCCCACCACCACCACCACAGCCTCTCCTTCCTCGCCTCCTCCTCATCATCATCCGTCTCCTCCTCTTCCTCTTCCTCCTCCTCCTTCTCCTTCTCCTGCTCCTCCTCCTCCTCCTCCTCACCCTTCTCTTTCCTCCTTCTCCTCTTCTCCCCCCAAACCTCAAATCCCCCTTCCTTTTCTCTCATCACTCTTCTGTTATTCACGGCCCCCCTCCCTCCACACATCCTCTGCACCACTACTGCTCCATTCCCCCTCCTCAGGCGATCCGCTCGTGCTGTCGTTCGTCGATCGTCGTAAACCACCCCCCTCGCGACATATCCCAACAGTCGGCTCCACCGTCTGATGTTGGCGCCCGAGGCCATTAGAAAACGGCCCCACCGCCTGCTGCCGACGCCTGGGCAGACCACGGATCCAGCGGCCTAGAACTGGACGGCCGCCAACTGCACACAACCTCCTGGCCAGACACCTTCTGGACCCCCAGCCCGGGCATGTACACCCTCCTGTCCTGGCCAAGAAATCGCGTGGACCGGTCCAAAAACTGGTAGAGCCAGACTGGCATAGTTTACGTCCGCCTCCCAAATTAAACATCTCAGATCGGATTGATTCGGTTTTGTGCTACAAAGGTGCTGAAAGTATTATAGCCGCAGGCACGGCAGACGGACCGACATGGTCGAAACAAAATAAGACAACCCAGAGCAAAAGCCATGCACAGAGACGGTGCGCCGCTGAGAGCTTCGGGTGAGCACAAGACTTGGAGGTCGTTGTAGATGTCATGTCATGGCGGTTCCACCATGGACAAGGCGCTGTCCTACCCTGTGACGCGAATATCGTGCATCGTGACGGGGCGGCCCTACAGTCAACCCGTATAGGAAGGATGCGCGGTAATGATGCAAGGGCCTTGGATGGCCATGTTGACGATTTTCGGATGAGGTTGGCAAGCGGAAGTCGCAAGAATGGGCCGACAGGGGAGGATGCAAGAGTCACCTTGGAAAGTCGCTCGTGCTTGCTATGCGGTGTGGCTGTATTTCCTCACATGTACTGGCGAGGTATTGGCGATGCGGCGCGATCCCGCGACACCACCCGCTCCGGCCCCACGTGGGGAAGCGGGAAGCGGGAACGAAACAGCGGTGGGGGGGCTCGCCAGCGCCTCGGGCCCATGGAGGGCGGCGGGGCTCGCTGACACAAAAAATCGGCGGCGCAAGAGCCTCGCGCCGTGGTTCGGAGGAAGGCGGCCCGAGACCAGATGCAAACAAAAAACAGCATAAGCATGAGCTCGTGGTCCGCGCGGATCCGTTGGATCTGGGCCAGAAACCACTTCCCTGGCGCGCGGAGCGCGCCAGGGGCGGCGCCAGGGGCGCTGCCAGGGGGGCCCCAGCGCGGATCCAAGAAATCCGCGCGGACCGTCGAATTCCTTATGCTTATACAGTTTTCTTTTCTCCAAGAGACACTCCGCCTTCTCCTCCTCCTCCTCCTCCGCCTCCTCCTCCTCCTCCGCCTCAGCCTCCGCCTCCTCCTCCGCCTCCTCCGCCACCGCCTCCGCCTCCTCCTCCATCTCCTCCGCCTCCGCCTCCTCCTCCTCTCCTCCTTCGCCTCCTCCTCCTCCTCCTCCTCCTCCATTCCTCTTCCTTATGAATAACTTGGCCCTGTCGCGCCCCGAGACCGGTTTTTAGGGCGGGCCCGTCGTTTCGCCTGAGACTTTGCCTACTCCTCCTCCTCCTTCTCCCCCTCCTCCTCCTCCTCCTCCTCCTCCTCCTCCTCCTCCTCCTCCTCCTCTTCCTCCTCCTCATCGACCTAGTCAGGAGGAGGATCTCAAAATCGATGCCCAGACCCCAAGGGTCCACAATTCAAGCGCACCCGTTGCTGCCGCGCCGCGGGGCCGGCCAGATTGCGACGAGGGGACTCCAAACAAAAGGGCCAACTGCTCACTCGTGTCTGGAAAGGCCCTCCTCCGAGTGGCTCAGAAGAAGACGCAGGCGCAGGAGAAAGAGGAGGAGGAGGAGGAGGAGGAATAGAAAGAGGATGGGGGGGAGGAGGAGGATGAGGAGGAGCCAGACCGAGTGGTTCTCGTCGGCTGGCCAACGCATCCTATCGATAAACCTCGAACCCCCTGCCCCGAAGAGTAGCAATAGCAGCGAACGCAGATAAATAAAACACTGTGGTCCGAACAGTCGAAAGCGATAACGCGACGCTCAGGAGCCGAAAGGCGGCCCTCGTCCAATTTGCTGCGACCGCTACACGAACCAGGAGGGGGCTCAATCAAGGCTCCGGCGCCCATCAAGCACACCTCACACCTCCACGCTCCAGACCACGGTCACCGAGCATGTGGCAACGGAACTGAGGCAGCAGAGGGAGCCCCGATCAGCTCGACCCCTGACAGGGCGATGGGGCCCCACAATGGCAGGAGGCGGGCCGCGAGACGCAAAGTACAGCGGGCCACGCTGATAAGTTGGTCCGCGTCCGCATTGGCAGCAGCCGAGCTGGCGCGCAATCCAATGGCGCGCGCTGCACCCGCGTCCGCCCAGTAGTTGCCCCGTCTGCGCCATCTCTCTTCACTGGAGATGCCCTGCTCATCAATGCCCCTGTGAGCAGCAACCTTCTGCGCGGGAAGGAGAGAGGAGGAAGTGGAGTAGCACTGGAGGTGGGCTCCAGGACTCCAGCATGCACGCGCCTGCCCGGAAGGTGAGCATCCTTCGGCAGGCTGGCAAGCTTGACAACATCGTGACAGTCCGACCAAGCACGTGCGCGCCCCGGGGTGCTGAGCACGCGGGCCCACGCGTAGGCCGAGAACGCCGCGCTCTGATGGGTCTGGGGAACAGGGGCCCAGACAGGAGCTCTGAATTCCGCAACGCCCCTACCGGCTCTGCCAACCATCGCGACACACGGCGCAGCTCGGCTTAATTCACGAATGGGATGTCTCGTGCACGAGCCGTCTATGAAGAGGCCCTCCCAGAGCTGCCTGTCCAGGGGGCCTCCAAGAGGGGGCCTGTTCAACACCGTGCCACACAACAACAGGACCATCCTCCGCATCAGTCGAGGGCCTCGGACAAAGGTCGGCGGGATGGGCGAAAGCCCCAGATCAAGGGGAGAAGTGGCGCACGGTCATCTCCTTCAACCTCGAGCGCCGCCGCAATTCTTCTGGCACGACCAAAGAGTTGCGCGAAGACAAAACACATTCCGCCTGACACGCCCAAATCCTGTGACAAAATGTTGTCTGGCTGCCCGCATAACTGGCAGCCTACATCCATCTGGTGGCCCAGCTGGAGCGCAAGCTCCTTCGTGAGAAAGGCTTCGGTGGCGAAAGTTCGAATCCCACCTTTCTCAAGGGCGCTGAACTTCTTGCTCGACGGGGCCTCCTTGACAACATCGTGACACAGACAGTGCTTAACCCCTCTCTTGCTAGCAGGACCCCTCTCTAACATGCGAAAGTAGGCCTCCTTGCAAAGTTTGTTTGACGAGGGCGGTGAAGAACAAACCAAGGGGAATGTCAAAGCCCCCGTCGTCTTTGATGGCCATGAAATCCCTCATTACCCAGCCAACCCTGGAAAGCGACATGCGCAGGGCGGCGGGAGGGCCAGCCACGCCGCGCCACGAACACGAGACCAAGCTAAAAACATCCGCCCAAGCAAGCCTGAGCTCAGGAAGACCAATAGCCCAAGGGAGCGCTCCAGACAGGGCGGGCCAAATCTCGTTCGACCACCTGATAGTGGGCGAGCAGGCGGCCCTCCAACACGGATCGGATTCGAGAATCGCCGACGCGGCGAGCGAACGAAGCTTCGAAAACGGTCGAACTGTGCTGGACAACCTACGACGAAGGAGGAAGTCGTAATCTGAGACCCCAGCGATCTCACCCCCGTAACTCGCGCCAGCAAGAGGGCCCGCAGAGAAAACCTTGATGATGGCGCTTCTCTTAAGCACCTTACTCTGTCTGCGCAAGCGCTCGGTGCGCCTACAGGCAGCTGCAAGCCTAGACTTGAGCTCGGCACTCCTGTCTCCTGTCCTGAGCGTCCGACCAGCCGTGTAGTCCACGCATAGGTCGACAGCCGAAGAAACGAGATGGGTCGAGAGCACGGCCAACTGGGGCGACACCTGCTCGCCCACGGTTCGAGACGAAGCATAAATGCAGGTCTTTTCCATGGCGAAGCTACAACCCAAGATATATCCCACCACGCCCTGAAACTGCCGCGCGCAGCTGACAACAGAGGGAACGACCTTCGAACGGGGGGGGGGGGGCAGCACTGGAAAGGCCGAGATCGTCAATGTAGACGTCAAGTTCAAGGATGGGCTGGCGAACGATGGTGTCGTAGCCCTCCATTCCGCGAACTCGAATGAACGCGGCGGCGACGCTGCACCCCGCCACCACCCCACTCAAAACGAAAGAGGGGCCTTCAACGATGCCGCCCAAGCTGAGGAAACGCCCGCAGCGATAGGTGAAGAGAGCAACTCGAGCGATGGCAGGCGGAAACTTGCGTCGAACGCATCTCTCCTGCAAGGCAGACAAGGAGATGCACTCATAAAACTTCATCAGATCAAAGACTTATACCGCTTGTAGGCTGATCGGACGTCATCCTCGCTGAGACGGGGGAGGGGCTTCAGGATCTGACCAGAGGGCACAGCCCCAAATCCCTGACCCCGCGGCGCACTAAACCAAACACCGTCAGCCCTCTGCAGCGAGAGGGGATCGACCACAGTACTCCCTTTGGCACTAAGCGTGGTGGTTGGGGCCCAGGGGGCGGTCCGCCGTGCGCATCCGCAGGTGCAATCTCCCACATGTGCGAGCCTGGAAAGGATGCCCTGCCGGCCAGACGATCCCGCGGAGCGGAAGCGCGGTCACTCGATGTGGCACGAAGCCCGTCCTAGAAACCCAGTCCTCTCTGCGCCCCTGCCTCCGCCGCGCGAGGCGCGGAGAGTCGCCGCAGAGAGGAGTCCTCGGACAGGGCGGCGCGCGGTCGCAGCCAGAGCTGACGCACGAGCTTGTCCAGACGAAGGGGGAGGGAGGAGGAGGAGGAGGAGGAGGAGGAGGAGGAGGAGGAAGGGGAGAACAGGAGGGGCAGGGGGAGGGTGCGCTTCGTGATGATGCCCTTTCCGAACTCGACGCCTTGGAGTCGGCCGCCGACCACTGTCGCCATTTTTCGCCCCTGGGAGATCAAGCGCTTGAGTGTCTTAGTATGGTCTTTGCTCTCATCGAAGCGGTGGGGCGCCTGCCGCCCCAGATTTCCGTCGTGCTCCTCGCCCTCCTCTCGAAGCCAGCTGGCGGCTTCAGGCCGATCGGGGTGTTCTGCTCCTGGTGCAGGGTCTGGGGTCGTCTTAGACGGCCCCTGGCCCTGCGCCGGCAGCAGCAGCGCCCCAAGAGGTACTGGGCTGCTGGCAAGCATCGAGGTGCGGCTGATGTTGTTTGGAGACAGGCTGCCGCAAGTTATGACAGCACATACAAAGCAGCCCAGGGGCGACTCAGACCGTCCTGGCGAGGTCGCCATGGCAATCCCAGACTTGCCGCGACAGCCTCCAGTGGGCCTCTTGGGGGCTGGCGGCAAGTCCGAGTACGGGCGGCCACTTCCAACCCTGCCTGCCCGCTGGCAAGCTCAATCCATACCCTGGTTCTTATCCTACCCCTCCTCTTCCTCCGCGTATCCCCCCTTGGCATTACTCTCCCCGTGCCCCCAATCATTCAACCTGCCAGCGGAAGTGAAACTACATTGCGCCACTCTGGCATGATTGCAAGGGCCGCCAGCACGCTGCCAGGAGCCAGTGTGAAAACCACGGGCCCAAGGGCGCGCGCACGGCGGGGGGCGCAAGTCCCATCGCGTTGGCTCTGACCATGCCGACGCTTCGAGACCCCTACGCCCCTTGCCATCATTATTAAAACGGTTCGCGTCGCAATGAATCGAACCGGCTTTCCCACCACCTCGTCGGCGATGGGGGCCGCCAACACCCAAGAGCTCGGCGTCCAGAAGGCCACATCGCTGGCAACCCATGCGCAAGCGTCAACGGAGGTAGCGCCATGGAGGCAGTCTGAATCGATCACCCGCCGGGTCCCCCCTTTTCCCCTCATCGCCCCACCACGCACCGTCATTCAAAGGCGCTGAGGCGGCAACGACGCGAAGCACGCCTAGTGGCCCCATTGGGAGCTCCACCGAAGGCCCTGGTGGCACAGGCCGCATGCGCCCGACGCCCATTTTGGGGCACACCTCTCACACGGTCCGTGGCCCCATGAGGAGCTTCACCGAGGACCCCAGTGGCACAGGCCGCATGCGCCCGACGCCCTTTTGGGGCACACCGTCACACGGTTCGTTGCCCGATTGGGAATTCCATCGAAGGCCCCAGTGGCACAGGCCGTATGCGCCCGATACACATTTTGGCAAACACCCCTCACACGGTTCGTTGCCCGATTTGAAAGTTCCACCGAAGGCCCCAGTGGCACAGGCCGCATGCGCCCGACGCCCATGTTGGCACACCCCTTACACGGTTCGTGGCAACATAGGGAGCTCCACCGAAAGCCCCAGTGGCACAGGCCGCATCCGCACGACGCCCATTCTGGCACACCTCTCACATGGTTCGTGGCCCCATAGGGAGTTCCACCGAAGACCTCAGTGGGACAGGCAGCATGAGCCCGACACCCATTTTGGAGCGAGCACACACACACACACACACCACACGGTTCGTGGCCCCATAGGGAGCTCCACCGATAGCGGTACCCACAACGCGGTACTCACAACTGCGTATGGTTGGGCCCTTCGCGAGGATAATGTTTGGTCGGACGGCGGGGGTGTCAGCCTATCCCCTGTTGTGCGCAGGGCAACCATCCCTGACAAAAAATACAACATGCACCTTGCAGTTTAATCTGGATCATGCGCGGCCATTCAAGTAGTTTTTGGCAGGGCCGGCGGGGGTGGTGGCACGTGGCCTGCTGTGCGCAGGCCCACCAGACACAATGATGGGCATTACTTTTCGACAAGGATGGCGGGGGCCGACATGTGTCCCGATGTGTGCTGTCATATGCGCAGGCGCACCTGACGCACTCTGCACGTGCCCCGAACGTGGCGCACCTGGCGCGACTGGAGTGTGCGGCACACCTGCACGTGGCGCATCTGGCGCACCATGCGTGCCTGGCACACTTGGGCCCCCGGGGTGCCTGGCGCGCGTGGCGCCCCTGGCACGCGTGGCGCACCTCGCCCAAATGTCGCGCTCCTGAGGTCGGCTTTGGCCCCCAGTAGCTGTTCATCCAAAGACGGCCGCTGAACATGCTCAGGCTCAGGCGCATGAACATGTGTTGGAAGGGCGGGTGGGGGTGAGCTGGAGGGCTTGCGGGCGGGTGGGAAGCTTGACCACTGTTCCCTATCAATAAACACCCCCTCCCCCAGGCGACTGGGGGCCAACCAGGGTGCATGCCGACCCCCACCCCACCATCCCTTGTAAAAACAATGCAAACCACACTCTGTCTCCTAATTCGGAACATGCGCAGCCAACCCGATGCGCCCCCCCCACCATCCGTCAAAAACCATACAGAGTACGCTTTGCGGCGGCGGCGGCGGCTGCGGCGGCTGCGGCGGCGGCTGCGGCGGCTGCGGCGGCGGCGGCGGCGGCGGCTGCGGCGGCTGAGGCGCGGCGACGGCGGCGGCGGCGGCGGCGGTAGCGGTGGCGGCAGCGGCTGCGGCGGCGGTTTGGCAGAGGGGCGGCGGCGGCGGCGGGGCGCGGGGGCGGCGGCGGCGGATTGGCCCCCAGTAGCTGCCCATCCCAAGACGACTGCTGAATATGCTGAGGCTCGGGCCCGACTCGGGTGCTACGTATGTGTTGGGAGGGGGCGGGGAGGGGGTAACTTGACCCCTCCCCCTACCCCCCCCCCCTGGACCTGGACGGGGGGCGCGGCGAGGCGTTGTAGCGTCCAAGATGGCCCGAGACCGCTCCAAGAGGGCCCATGAGAGTCCAAGATGAGCTCCGAGATGGCTCAAGATAGCGCACGATGCCTCAAGATGGCTCCCAAGATACTCCAAAAGTCCCCGAAAATGTTCCAAGACGGCTTCAAGAGGCCTCGAGACCTCCAGGGAGGCCCCCCAAGAAGCCAACGTCCTTCAAAAACCGAAGGAACATCAAAAAGTTGTGGTTTCTCGCCTTTTCGCTTCCGATGGCCATCCGATGCCTCAAGATGACTCCATGATGGCCCAAGAGGGACCCAGGAGAGGGACACATTGAGCGCGCGCGCACACACACAAGCGCGAGCGAACACACCCACACATAGACAGACAGAGACAGACAGACAGACAGACAGACAGACAGACAGACAGACAGACAGACAGACAGACAGACAGACAGACAGACAGACAGACAGGGGGCAGGCAGACAGACAGACAGACAGACAGACAGACAGACAGACAGACAGACACACACACACACACACACACCCGTCATCATTCGACGCGGCGATGGCTTGCAATCACCAGTTGTATGATGCCATGCGGTCAAGGCGACACACGGACGCACCTACGCACGCACACACACCCACGCACACACACACACACACACACACACGCACGCACGCACGCACGCACGCACGCACGCACGCACACATACACACACACACACACACGCGCGCGCACTCTCTCTCTCTCTCTGTCTCTTGCTCCTTCTGCGAAAATGCTGCGGCCGCAACCGGAGGCAGTGCAGCCAGAGGCAGCAGCTCCACGCACAGCGGCAACCGTGCTCGAGTCCAGAGAGCGAGGTCGAGAAGGACATCTGGCTCGGGCGGTCCTCTCTCCCTCCTCCCTCGCCCTCCCTTGCTTCCTCCTCCGTGCGAGGAGAAGACGAACCGAGAAACAGCGCAGAGCACAGGCTACAGTGGGACCTCAGCCGACGCACGCTGTCAGACGGCAATATGTCGCAGAAGCGCCGGCCGATCGTGGCCTGGCTCTTCTGTTTCGGCAGCAGGTGCTGTGCAAACTCTTCAGGCGCGGGCACTCGGTGCGCTCCTCTCTGAACTACTCAGGCTCGCATCAGAGGCAAATCTGTTGACTGGTCGCATCCAACTGCAGTCACTCCTACTCGGGCGGGATGCTCATCTGCGCCGAGCATCTGGCTGTGTTCAAGACTTCCTGCTGCGGACTGCTGACCGTGACAGGGACTTCCCGGTGCGCGCTTCTGGTCGTGATCAAGCCGTCTCCGAGCGCGGGCAGACCGTGCCTCCCCTTGCACATGTCCTTCAGCTCGGCGAGGTCCTGTCTGATCAGCACCTGCAGCTTGATGATGCGTGTGATCTCCAGGGACTGGTTGCAGCACACCAGCTGCGTCATCTCTTCCAAGAACTCGTCTATTGTCACCTCCATTGAGCCGTCTGCGTCCAAAGCTTCGAAGAGATCGTGGAGAGAGTCCACATTGAGCAGCCTCTCCAACTCGTGCTGAAACGCCTCGGGAGCAGAGGTCAATTCCTCCGCGGTGACACAGCCACTGCCATCCAGATCCAATTCTTCGAATATGTTCCTCAGTTGCGGCACCAGTTCTGACATGCGCTGCGCGTTCAATATCTTCCGCGTTTGCTGGTCGCGCTGATGATGGTCCCAGAACACCTTGATGACCAGGGCGGTCACCAGGTTCATGAGGATGACGGACACCACCAGAAGGAAGGGCAGAAAAAAAAACATGAGCCAGACGTTTTCCCTGATCATCGTCGTGTATATGGGTGCCACACTGTCCATGGTCACAAACTGCATGAGCGTCAGCATGATCATCGGCAACGTGGCGAAATAGTTGTCCACCATCTCTTGGGACGCCGCCCCGCGGAGGCCTGTCATCACCTCCACGCCCAGACACGCGAACGCGAAAATGGCCATCAGGAGGACAAAGAACACGTTCAACATCGTGGGCAGCGACGAGAAAAGCCCAGAGATCAGCATCCAAAGGGAGTGACACTGCACATATAAGCGGAGCGCCCGGACGAGACGTGCCAAACGGAAGATGCGCAGGAACATCGCGCTCGGCACGAGTTTCTCGAGGGCGTCTCCGGCAATCATTATGATGATGGGCACAATCCACGCCCCCAGAACACCAACACATACGAGGGCCAAATCAAATCTCACCCACGGATTCGACAAACACTTTCGACCACAACCAACAATGCGAAAAATAAGCTCCAACAAATAAATGCTGAGAAAGATACTCTCCAAGATCCCGAACGCCAGCCGCGACGCTGCAGTTTCATCCTCCTCCGTCGGCGTGACTGTGAGCTCAACGGCAATGATAATCGCATTGAGCACGATCACTGTGCCCATGCTGATGTCGAACTTCGGGTGGGCCAGCAGAGCAAAACAACACCTACGCACCCAAGAACCAACACCACCATCACTGCCGTAAAGCGTCTTCATCTGCCGATTGATAGCAACTTGCCGAGCGATTCCGTCATCCCACTCAACGGCATCCGTCAGCCCAAGCCTCCGCAGAACTACTTGTGTGCGGTCAAACTGTGAAATGTCTTTCACCTTGTTCGCCTTGAGGATGCCACTGAACCTTAATCCCGCACGGATGCGGTGCTCTTGGCGGTCTGCGTTGGTGCCCGCCGAGAAGCTGCTGGGCTGGGAAACGGTGGTTTCGCGCTCCCCTTGCGTGGAGGTGGTCACCTCGAACGTCGGCACGCTGACCCGGGGAACCTCCGAGTTGACAGAGGGACCCTGCTCCGATAGCAGACAGTGCCCAAATGATGAAAACCGCCGTTCCGATCTCGGGGATGGGGCTGCAGGCGCCTGGGTGTATTCCGTGATGGTAGCGGGGCCGCCGTTCGAGCATCCGAGCTGGTCAAGTCTCTCGAGCACCCGGTGCTGGTGCTCCGCCTGCGTGATGGCGATCTGGCGCAGGAGCTGGAGCACCTCCTCGGTGAAATTGACATTCCTGTCTTCGACACATCCTTCCGGCATGGGCGGTGACATTCCTGTCTTCGCCACCAAGGCCGACCAGAGTAACTCCTTGAGACGAAATCGGCGCGGAGGCTTGAGCCAACATGGCTACGGACTCTCCTGGAGCACTCTTGGGCTGAATTCGGCGCCTTCTGGGCCGTCTTGGGGCCCTGTTGAGGGCCCTGTGGGCCGTCTTGAGAGGTTTGGGGGGCTTCTAGGGCTGTCTTGGAATTTGAATCGCGAAAGAGCGTGAACACGAACACCGTGAACAAAAACAGTATGGGATATCCATGAGCTTATTTTTTAATCGGGGGGGGTAACGCCCGTTACGGGGGGGGGGTCCGGCCCCGAGTTGGGGGTAACGGTAACGCGCGGCGGGGCCCTCGCGCGGGCCTTGGTACTTATTACCAGCACAACTGTCGGCACGGTAGGCTTCGTCGTCGTCGTCGTCGCCGCTGTCGTCGTCGTCGTCGAAGCCGACCGTGCCTGTGCACACTACACAGGTTCTGTACACTGCGATGCCTTTGTGCACCACAAATGCGGCAGAAATGGTATGTGTGTGCACCACGGCGACTGAGCACATCATGTCAGGCGGGTGCACCACAGCGCCTTTGTACATCTCACTGTTGGTGCACACTACGGCGCCCGCGTGCACCACAGCTGCTGTTTCAACGCCCCGCGTTTGCACCAGAATGCCAGCGTACACCACAAAGTTTGTGTACACCTGTAAGGTACCGGCGGAGCGAAAGTCCAGAAGATCGCTCGGGGCCCAACCGTGGCCCTTTCATTATGTGAGCTGCTTGTGGATCTTAGTTTTTCTGGTTCAAAAAGCGCTCGGACCTGTTGAGCCCACAACGCCTGTGTACTCCATTGCGACTGCGTACATCATGGGAGTGTGAACCGTGGCGCCTGTGTATACCACATGGCATGTGTGCACCACAAAGCTTGTGCACGGTGTTTTTTTTGTGCGGAATGTAAACCACGCGCCGTGGGGGCGCGCGGGGCGGCGGCAGCCTAGGGCATACAGGAAGCAGGAGCTCCCTGCAGGCACAAGGCCCCTGGGACATGGGTCGACGGCTGGAGCGCGCGCGCGGGTGCGTCGTCGTCGTCGCCGTCAGTTGCGACGGCGACCGGGGGGGCGACGGCGGCGGCGGCGGCGACACGGGCGGCGGCGACGGCGACCACGACGACGACGACGACGACGGCGGCGGCGACGGCGACGACGCCGACGGCGGCAGTCGGCGGCGGCGGCGGTGAAGGTGACCGCCGCCGCCGTCATCGCCGTCGTCGTCGCCGCCGATGCCGCCGCGACGGCAGAGCGAACCAAGAGAGGCGTGCTCTTCGATTGCAAGAGAGTGAAAAATTAGACAGGATACATTGGAAGCGCGCGTTGCAACGGGAGCTGGTTTGCGCCAAATATAAATGGCAACCGTTCTGAAGGCGACAACACAAAAAAAATCCTCCCAAAACCCTCGGCATGCTAAACAGCCCGATGATTGGCATTCGTAGCTGGCGTATGGCGCGACTGCGGGGCGCGTGCTGGAGGGGACGGGTGTCGGAGGGACCACCGCATGCATCTGGTTTGCGCGGGGTGCGCGCCAGCGTTCTGGCATTCGCATGCGGTGGAGGTCGTCGTGTCAGCAGTGTGTTGCGCGCGTTGTGATGTGAACGGTGACGGCGACAATGCGAATGAGCAGTCTTTTTTATGGCGGGTTCCCGAGAGACTTATCGGGAGCCCGTGGCGAACAAAAGTGGCGAAAGATGCACTGGAATCAGCAAACATGTGGCGAGCAAAAGTGGCGAGCAAAAGTGGCGAAAGTGGCGCAGCATGTTTCTGTCGAGCCACTGGAATCCCTGCACTGGATGTTGCAGGACGAAACAGCCGCCGGGAAACATCAACCCCTTGCGGGCGGGCGGGCGGGCTAGACCGCCCCGCGCGGAGCAGGGGGCCCCCGGCTCAGTAGCCGATTACGACGGATCCCTGTAGATCCGAAGCTTGACCATGCACGCGCGCCTGGAGGGACACGCGCGCCTGGAGGGACATCATCT